ACTTATTTATTGAATGAAATGATCAGGGTATAGTATCTATTATTATTTAATTGTATCTTGAAATTTTTTTTATTAAAAACAAATTAACGCATTATGTAGGTGTGTAAACCGGGCGGATGGATTGAGGTAATTATATTGTGCCTTTTTTTATCAAGTTACATATACAATACGGAATAAGAAATATAAGTTATATACTTACTATATACAATTTTGTAGATAATGGAATATAGAGGGTACGAAAATGCAGGACCTATCGCACAAGCCGGATTAAATCAAAGTAAATATAAAGATAATTTAATTAACGATAATTTAATTAATGTTAATTTGATGAAAATTAAGTAAATGATATATAAAAATCTATTATCATTCCTATTCATAGTACAAGGGATAACTTCTGAAAATACAGTCGATTTAATTCCTCAAATGATGAAAAATCATCTCTCTCTAGTAGATTTTAAGCATTTTGAAAAAAGAGGCCCGATTGGTGCTTGGGGTGGTCAATATGGTTCTTTGGTAAGATTTTTTGTTCGTTTAATATATTTAATGTATTTAGTAAAGAAAATTTTTTATATTGTATTTTTCTCTAATATTTCTCTAAATTCTAGATGCTAAAAAATTATAAAAGTATAGGAAAATCCATTTACTTAAAATTACATGACAACGACCCTGATTATGATGAATTCATTGCATCTGTTGAACAAGAATTTGATCGATATAAAACAACAATCGGAAACTTTAGGTGTTTTGCTAGGAAAAGGTTTCATTAATTATTTTTCCTGTAATTTTAGGATTTTTTTTTTTTTTTTATTGTAATTACTTTATTTTTTTTATTTTTTTTTTATTTTTCTTCTTTTTTGAACATTATAGTATATTGTATTATTATAATCTTTGTTGAATTTGATTTTGAAAAAATTTTAACTTGTATTGATAAGGTGTAAATATAAAGTAGAATATAATATTTCTATAGTACTGTAGTATATCGGGTTAAATAGTATATTTTTATTTTCGTTTCTTATGTTTTGATCGAAGACAGTTTTGAGTTTAGTGGCTTTATTGCTCTTATATGTATACACTAGCGTTGGAGAATACGCATAATTTGTTGGGGTGTGCGATATCCTATTATTAACAAATCTATTGAAGATCATATATTAAATTGTATTATAAAGAATTTTTTCATAGCCTGCGACTTTTCCGAAATTTATATAGTAAAAATGCATT